TCCTTATTATAGATATTGTCCAATAGAAATCAAGTTCCACACGTTGCTGCCCTACAACACACCGTGAGTTTTGAATAAGAGGACAAATCGTGGGACAGCACGAGTAGTTCGAATCAAAGAACCGACGCATATTCATTTCAAGTGTAAAAGTATCTACAGAGTGTCGGAAGATAAATATCAGATCTCTATATATATAAAACAGTTTGTCCTGACTGACCGACTGATTGACTCTCTGATTGGCAATCAACGCACAGCCCAAATGGTAAGAGCTATGAAGCTGAAATTTGGACCCAAGATCCCTGTAACAGTAAAAGTGAGCACTAAGAAGGGATTTTGGAAAATTCGAGCTCCAAGTGGGGGAAAAAGAGCTCCAAAATTTTATTGAAAAATCAGAATTTTTCCACCAATGAACTTTTTTATCTATATATATAAAACAGTTTTTCCTGACTGACTGACTGATTAATGATCAACGCACAGCCCAAACAGTAAAAGCTAGGAAGCTGAAATTTGGACTCAAGTATCCTTTTATTGCGTAAGCTAGCGATAAGAAGCGATTTTGGAAAATTCGAGCTCCAAAGGGGAAAACAGGCTCCAACGTTGTATGAAAAATGTACAATTTTCAACTTCAAACTTAGTTTGTCTACTCCCAGAAAAATTGCATACTACACACTCGGTTTTTTGAAATTTTTCTTGGGGCCTGAAATATGGGAGTTTTACTGTAAAAAATGTTGGAGCACAAAAGGAAACGGCGTCAATAGCCCACAACCCAAACGGTAAGAGCAAGAAAGCTGAAATTTATGCTCAAGTATCCTATCATAGTGTAGGTGCGCACTAAGAAGGGAGCTTCAAAGGTTTCCCCCCTTTGTTTGAAAAATCCACATTTTTAAACCGATTGGCCTAAAACGTGGTTTCTAAAAACAAAAACAAAACAAGATAGAACGCTACAGTCGAGCAAGCCCGACAGTAAAATAGCCTGTACTCTCCACAAAAAAGAAAAATTAAAAAAAAAAAAAATAAAAAAAAAAAATAAATTTTTAAAAAAAAATGAATGAATGAATGAATTAATTAAATTAAATTAGAATACATGTTTAATTAATTAGTAATTTAATTAATTCATTCATTCATTCATTTTTTTTTAAATTTATTTTTTTTTTAAATTTTTAAAAAAATTTTTTTTTAAATTTTTTTTTTTTAATTTTTCCTTTTTGTGGAGAGTACAGGGTATTTTACTGTCGGGCTTGCTCGACTGTAGCGTTCTCTCTTGTTTTTTTTTTTTTGTGGGGTGGTACAGGCAATTTAAGAGTTGAGCCTGCTCGACTTTAGCATTCCTTTCTTGTTTTTTAATTGGTCTTGGAGCTTGAATTATTGAGTTTTTTATATTTCTTCACATTTTTCAAACTAGCAGGTCTTGCCCGTATTTGCTGGGCTAAGTAAAATGTGCTTATAATTATAAGTTTATTTACTATATGATATTCTTCTTTCTACGCTCTCTAAAGTTTTTTAAAGAGTTCATTTTCCAAAAAGCAAACTGTTGCTTGTTCTGTGTGTGAGTGTGTGTATCTGATGTCCCTCCCTAACTATTTGATATTTGCGTTCTTTGTAATTTGTTATTGCTGCATAAAGTTACTAATGAAAACTTTAATGCCAAATGTACTAAACAAAGAAAAAATTACTTTTAAAAATGTTAAATAAATTTTAATTAATTAACATTTCTCTGTTAGTGCAAGACGAATGAACATACATACATATATAGATGTGTACATGTACATGTGTACATATGTATGTGTGTACTTTCACACATTAGTGTCTCACATTTTGCTTTAGCTACTTCAATCGTTTGCACGCAACTACACGAACAGCTGCTTGTATGTGTGTGTGTGTATAATTAGTTGTCCCCAACTTCTTTGATATTTTGTATTGTTTGTTTTGCCTGCATTTGTAAAATGCATATTTTGAAAATCCTTGAACGGAAAGTTGTAGATTTAGTATCGTAGATCGGAAATCGATCGGAAAAAATTTATAACACAAACTTTTCATTTGAAAAGGTGAACAAATATTAAAATCCGAGTATGCAGTTTTGTTTGTATTCTTTTATAGATTATACAAATGAAATTTAAAGTTGATCGATGCAGAAATGCAGATTTTTCAAACAAACTTTGGAGCTCGTTTTCCCCCCTTTGGAGCTTGAATTTTTCAAAATCCCTTCTTAGTGGGCACCTTGAGTCCAAATTTCAGCTTCATAGCTCTTGCCGTTTTGGCTGTGGGCTGTTGACGCGGTTTCCTTTTGCGCCCCAACATTTTTTTTTACAGGAAAACCCATATTTCAGGCCCCCATAAAAATTTCAAAAAGAAGTTTTTCTTGGAAGTTTTCTGAGAGTATACAAACTAAGTTTGAAGTTAATCAGATGAAAAATTTTTCATACCGACGTTGCAGCTCGATTTCCTCCCTTTTCCAAAATGGGCACCTACACTATGAAAGGATACTTGAGTCCAAATTTACGCTTCCTAGCTTTTACCGTTTGGGCTGTACGTTGATCACCAATCAGTCAGTCAGGACAAACTGTTTTCTATATACAGAGATTATATTATATTATTATTGTAGCGGCTTTGTATTTTTTTAACAAGATAGAACGCTACAGTCCAATATGGTCCAGAAGTCGTTTTTTCTGGCATACATACACATAACAAGAAAAAAAGCTAAAGTCGGGTGTCCCGACTTGAAATACTCTGTACATATGTTCACAATAATTATAGAAATTAAAAAAATTAAGAGAATTAAAAAAAAAATTGTTGATCAATTTCACCTCTCTTGGTATTCGAACTCACGTAAAGGGTGTATAATAGCACACATACAAAGCAATTGCGTCTATGTGTATGAATGCCTATACGCATCTATTCGTGTCTGTGTAAGCATGTTTGCAGTCAACCAAACAGCAACATCAACAACAGCAGCGCTTGAGCAACGCTTGAGCAGCAAATATATTTATGGCTATAACTTTTTGTTAAATCGGCCTATCATAGTGAAACTTGACATACGGACACATAATAACTAACTGGATGTTTTTACAAAATTTGAGTTCGAAATTCCAATAATTACGGGAGTTACGATTTGCTGGGGAGGGGGGAGGGAGGGAAATTCCAAAATACACATTTTGGTCCAAGGCATCTTGGACTAAAATTTGGTGTCCCTAGGTCTTATAGTCTCCGAGATATAGGCGATAATACGAATGGAAAATCGGGAAAATTAAAAAAATAAAACAAACTCGTATAGCGTACACACATAAAGCATCTTTGTTGGTGTTCATACGGACGGACAGACAGACAGACAGGGCTAGATCGACTCGTCTCGTCACGCTGATCAAGAGTATATATACTTTGTGGGGTCTGCCACGCCTCCTTCTGCCTGTTACATTTTTCAGCTCCCGCAAACCTAATATACTCTTGTACATTTCATGTACAGAGTATAAAAGACAATTTTTTAAAACTATTTAAAAAATGAAATTAATTAAATAAACAAAAAAATTTATTGAGCAGTGATTGCAAGCAGTTTTGTTTGTATTCTTTCATAAAAAAAAGGGTTTTTTAAAACAACATTGGAGCTTGTTTTCTCCCCTTTAGAATACAAAAGTGCACACTTACTTATATTTGGGGTCTGCCAATCTGCACATCGAACTGGTCGATGTAATTTGTAAATTCGTGATATTGTACCCATAAACTCAAGGATGTGCCCCGTGTGCAGAGGCAATCAAACCGCACAAAAATATTAGACATATTTCTTAAACCAAGAGCTATACGGAGTGATAAACTGGAAGCGATAAGACACGCGTGCCTAAGCTAAGCGCAATATACAACTCGCACAGCAGATCCACAAGCATGACTGCGCGTCGCCATCACGTCAGACAACACTTTTTCCTGCATTGTGTGACACACTGGGAATCGAATAGAGATGAAGTCGAGGTGTTGTCGAATGTGGTTTGTTAATAGAAGTATGTCAGTTGTAATCCTGTTATATACTCGTATATTTGTATAAGGTTCAGTGCATCGCTTCGAAGGTAATGTATGTACGTGTATGTATTATTTAATTTGTTTTAATTGCCAAATAAATAATAGATACAATATAAAATATATAATATAGAACATATGTTTCTATTTATGCAGACATAAATTTAAAATTTACCTGGCATATTCTTGTGGAAATGGACTCGAGTACCATGTTTCAATATTCCATTTTCCAAACTCAATAGATTTAGGATTTCGTTCGCTGCTGTGCTTCATTTTTTTTTGATTCTTATTAAATTGCTCGAAGTGATTATTAGATACTTTGATTATGGCTTTATCCAAAACTTCTTTGTACAAATCTACATCAATTTGGTTGACACACGGTGGAAGTGGCTGATTTTCTAAAATAAGAAGTGATATATTATCAAAGAACATAAATTGAAAATACGACATACCGAATGGATTAGTATGATTACCACTATGTTCATTTTCATTTTTCAACAGTTGATACTCGTTTTTCGTATTTTTACTTCTTTCTATTTCATCAATCAATTGACATTTCAGTACTGTATGTTCTGTTAGGTATGGGATATCATTTTCATTGTCAGATTTATTGTAAGATTTCCCCGGTTCAAGAGGCATTGATTTTAGGGGAACAACCTTTTTTTTAATATTGTTTGAGCTTTTATTGTTAAAGTACAATTGTGTGGTTTGATCATAACAAGGGTTATCGTCATGCTTTTTTGCTGCAAAGGGTAGTAAATTAACATTTTTCGAATCATTGAATTCTTCATGAGTATTCAATGGTTTTTTTATATAGTTAGTATGTTTTGCGTGATTCTTGAACTTAGAGAAAATATCCACTGTATTTCTTGCAACGGCAGCAAATCCCCAATTTTCACATTGTGTTTCAAAGTCTTCCTTTAAGCATTCTCTTTCTTTTGAAGTGGATTTGAATACACGTTTGTTGTCGTTTTTAAATTCATTTGCTTTTAGTGCACTTTTATCAGAATCGTAGTCTTCTTCATCGTTTTCATCATTATCACATTCAGAGCTCTCACTTGAACTTTCACTTGAATCCGAATCAGAGCTAGAAGAAGTGCACGAATCAGAAGATGTACTTTCATCTTGGTCATTACCATCACCTCGTCCATTTCTCTCCTCTTCATCGTCTTCTTCATCTTCACTGTCGGTTGAAGAGCTGGTCGATGATAAATCGGACAAGGTGCGTTTTCGTGTAGATTCGTTTGAAATTAAGCCACGGTTGGTTGTAATTAATTTTTTCTGCTTATTTGGCGACTTCATGTGGTTTTCGGTAACACAAAGTTGCTTTCGGGTGCTCATTCCGGAAATTTTATGTTTTTGTGTATGACCAACGTTATAAAAGCAAATTTGCGATGTAGATGGGCTGTCAATTTCTCTTTCATTTTTTATAAGTTGCCGCTTGCAAGTTATATACGTTTTATGAGAACTGCCAACAGATGAATTATTATTAGAATTTCCTTGTTTTAAATATTTTAATGATTCTTCGTTTTTATTATCAGAAGATAGTATCCTGAAAACAAATTAAAAATATAATTAAAATCAGAGTAATTTAAAAACCACAAGAAAATATGTAAATCATTAGTACATAAGCTGATTTACTCTTCAGTTACATGATATAAACAAGTAGAGAAACTAAAATCGAGTGCCTCGACTTTAAAATACTCTGTATCCATGTGTGCCATATAAGCAGATCATGTTCAGAGATTACATGTATGGTTTTCACTTCCTTTGGAATCGATCTATCACGATGAAACTAAGCAAATGGACACATAATTACTAACTGAAATTCGAAGAATTTATCAGGTTTAAAAAATCACTAACAAATTATTATTATTTTTAATGGTTGGCATAAATCCTCGAGCTGAACCCTCCAAGAGGGTCCGGCTGGAAATGGCACTACAGTCTGTCCCGGTACGTTGTCGGTGTCCAGCTAAGAGACCAGAGCCACACAACCTTACTCCTCAATAGTTACGTTGTCTGGCTATGGTCCCTGATCATGGCTTCGAGGTGAGGGCTGGATCAAGGTGTCATGCGACCCGTGCCGAAGATCAGCATGGCTGGTCGCTCACGGAGCATCCGGGGTACCTGGCGACCCCCCGGATTACTTAGCCTAGCCCGGGTACACGGATCTCTGCCCGGGCAATCGAACCCTTTCTCCGCCACTCGTGGGAATCACAACTGAATTTTAAATATGAATACGTCAACGCCAAAACAGCAACAACAGAGAAGCAAAAAGCTGGAGACCGTCCCACCACAAAGGCCGGAAGGAACTAAAAGTTCCGCAACAAGAGGAGCCGTGTCTCTACCACGCTCCGATGTTACAAATATGAAGAGAGTCAAAACGGCAATCCTAGTCACCATGCTCAAATCTCCACCGCCAACCCGAAGAACCGTTCCAAGCATATTATCCACCAGTGAGCCCTCGGCTGCTGGCGTGCTTGCGACGGACGCGCCCGAGGGGAAAAAAGAGCAGCACAGATGCCAAGAGTAGATCCGGAGAAGGCTGGATATAGCGAGCGACGCGCGGCAGCTCGGATCCTTCGTCGTCAAGACGACGCTCCAATCACGGCGGAGCAAAAGTCGAAGGAAGAATTCGAAAGAATCCAAGCCGACATTCGATGGGCGAAGCGGGTGTTACCCAACTTCGTATATAAACTTGAAGTTAGCAATTCCAAGCGCCGAAAAGACAGAAGACGCAGGGCAGGTCCTGGTCCAAGTCTTTTGCGGAGGTGGCCAAAGACCGCAAGGTCGTAGGGGTCATCGACCGCAGCAACGAAGAAGGCAGGATTCCAAAGCACCAGTGGCGATGGGTTTGGCGGAATGTCGCATCAACTACGGATTTGACGAAATCAAACTAAACATTTATAAGGCGGACATGGGAGCGATATGCCGCCAGGTAGGACGAGATGGACGTCGACGCAGAAGAAGACCCCTCTGGGGATCCGATTACGGAAACACGATGGGCAAGCTCTATTCCGAGCGGGAGCTTCTCGAATACAGCAGTGGAGAAGCCGATGCGACGCTCACGGAGGAGAGTGCGGAGAACACCGGAGATGAAGGTCCTCCAAATAAATCTGCATCACTGTAAAGCAGCAACAGCTGCTTTAATGGTTCGTCTGGCAGTAGGCGTGGCGGATCTAGTCCTAATCCAAGAGCCCTGGGTACACAACAGCACAATCCGGGGTCTTGAATTGGATAACCAAGCTTCACCCTACTGTAGGAGCGGTAAGGGTAAACATAGAACTAGTATTCTAGCTAAGAAACAAGTTAATACCATTATAATTCCCCAAATCAGCGATGATGACCTAACAACAATCAGTCTACGAGTAGGGAACAACAATGGAGAGGTTAAAACCACCATACGAATGGCTTCTGCCTATATGGCCCACGACCAAGAAGGCAACCCCCGGTTGCAGCTGCTAAAAGCCATAGCCGGCAATAGCAGCTACAACAAAATTGGCACGATCCTGGGAGAACATACCAACGCTTACCATACCCAATGGAGTAACAGTGACATTAATGAAAGAGGTGAGTCTTTATACGACTATATTATAAGTAGTAACCTACTGATCTGCAACGTAGGGAACGACCCCACCTTCGAAACCGAAAACCGCAGCGAGGTTAGACATTTCGTTGGAGTCTGACTTTCTTTCGCATGGAACCCTGGCCTGGAGGGTCCTGAATGATCTCTCATTCTCAGACCACAGGCTCAAACACTTTAGGCTTGGGTACCATACCCCAGCTAAAATTAAAAATTTGAATCCAAGAAAAACCAACTGGGGGTATTATCGGAGACTGCTTGTCAAGAAACGAAAACACAAATGAGCGGGTGAAGAAACCAAGAGGGCCATAAGCTCCAGATGGGGGTTCTCACCAAGCATCGTACAATGGATATATACGGCTATCATTCGACCGATCCTCCTATATGGAATCGTAGTATGGTGGCCTGCGCTCAGCAGGGTGCAGAGATCGGCGGAATTAGGCATAAGTGGGGCTCTTCGCACAACACCAACGGAGGCCCTTAACACCTCCTCCCACTGGACATAGTCGGGAAGGCACTGGCCACGAACTCAGCCCTTAGGCTGAGGGAAACTTCTGCGGGGAAAAGCTCATCACGAGGTCATGCAAGTATACTGCGTCTTCACCCCGGGGTTACTACCCACACAGACTACTGTATACCGAGACTTATCTTCCAAAAGAATTATGTTGTCAGGATTCCCACTCGAACAGAATGCGATAGCCTGCCACATTACCAGAACAACGCCATCAACTTCTTTACGGATGGCTCAAAACTGGATCGGAGAGTCGGCGGTGGCATCTTTTCTCCGGACCTGAGGATACAGCTGTCAAACTTTTAAAATACCACCGGGTGGCTAAAGGCTGGGGATTATATGGTATCACAACGGGCCTTCTAGGCCTAAGTGGGGGGTGATTATCATCACCTCCGCCATTTCAACCTAACCTAATATAAGCTTTAATTCTCGTTTTAATAGCATTATCTATATTTAGACATTCTTCAGGAGTTATAAAGTCCAGCACTTTTTTAAATTTTGATTTCGATTTAGACAGAGCACTTTGTGGGTCGTTTTTCAACTTTATTTTAATGATTACCCACAAGTTTTCTATTGGGCTTAGACCTGGACTTGATGATGCCCTATCTAGGACATCAATACCATTCTCTTGAATGCAATTATTGGTGGTTTTTGCGGGGTGTGTAGATGAAAATTCGTGCTGAAAAGTATTCCCCAAAGTCACAAAGATGTGAAATGAGATTACTTTGTAAGATAAACTTGTATTTTTCTGCACGTACAGCTCCATATATGAAGTAAAGTTTTCCACACCCTTGGCTAACCTGCATCCTCACCATTGTGATTGATAGAAACTTGGTTGAATGCCTAAGACAATCTTTGTGATATACCTCCGTAAGCTTTTGTATTACTCGTTTTTGAGCATCGCCAACAAATACAGTACCCAGTTCTGTCTTTCTCTTACCCATAGCAGTCATTTTTTTTATTGGAAAAGCTGTGAGCAAACATTTTCTTTGACCTAAAAACATCACTATTATTTTTTAGGTTCAACAGAGGAGCTGCAATCATACCTTATAGAAGCCATATTAAGTTCATTTTCTGTCACGTCCATTCATGTTTTACTGTTTTCCCAATATTTTCAGACCATTTGTCACGTGAAGTCTTTTTGAGACTCGACCTCTGTTGACTGTATAACTGTGAATATTGTATACCTTTGCACTTTTTTTTGTACCGTAGACTTAGAAAGCATACGATTTTTTCATACCTCGCCATAGCTGTTGCTCAAATTGAAGCTCGACCTTACTCACAAACTGGCTTATTTATGTTGATATTTTACTTTTTTACAATTTTATCTAAAACAAGGGAAATTAAAAAAAGGATTACAAAAAATTTCAATTATTAAAAAAAAGGTAAATTATTTAATTAAATATATTACATGCGTGTATGTATGCAGTACATAATTATGTCAAAGCAGCAAAAACAACAACAGCTGCGGCCAAGAAAATGTTTATGCTATAACTTTCGTCATAATTAACCTATCGTAATGAAACTTGGCATACGGACTCATAATTACTAACTGGTGGTACTTGCTTGTGAACTTCCAACAATTACGGGAGTTATGGTAAAACACGAATTGCGAATTGGGGGTTGTATCGGAAAAAAACCCAAACTCCATCTGCCTAGGGCTTTAAATTTTTGTTTTGCATTATTGTTATGTGAAAGGTGTGCATGTTTTATTATGAAACTAAAGGTAACTCAATGACCTTTTTAAAAAGTATAAATATGTTGGTGCAACCCACAAATAAAAATAATCATTGAAAGTTGAACTATCGAAACAAACCTAGCTGTACCAATTAATACTGATTAGGGCTCGTACTAAGTACTCTTGTACATTTCATGTACAGGGTATAAATAGCAAAGAGGCAATCTGCTACTACCATAGTAAAATTGATTTATGTTGAAAATTTGTTTTTGATATTACCGTTATTTTAATAGATGTTTTAATGTTTTGTGTATACAACTATTATCTATTTTACTTTGTTTTGCTTTCGTATAAAGAAACGAATGGTTTCTTATCAGCTCTTAATCTCAAGTACCGTTAGCATTTAAAAGAATCCCAGGTCATGCATTCATAGTAAATTGATAAATGTGCATTTTATCCTTTTACATTTTAGTGTAAACTACACTTATTATCTCCAGAAAAAAATTTAGTTGTTAAGAAGATTTATTGGAGGCTTACTAAAAGCCGTATCGTTGTGCTTTGGCGAACTT